TCTCACGGCCACGGGCCCACTGCGGCGGCGAGTATTTTCACCACGCTGTGTGCATCGTCGGGTGAAGTTGAGCGGCCGAGAGGCGATCGAGGTGGCGATCGCCGTGAGGGTGTACTGCCCACCGCCTGGCCAGATGAAAGTCGCACAGCGCACTACTCGGCTGGTCTTTCAACCAGGGTCCGCTAGATAAGCGTGGGAAGGAGACGGTCGGCGGTTTTTTCTTCACGTCACGTCGTTCACATCCATCGAGCACATCGCGGTTCGTGTTTATATATAACGCATGTGCGATCGCCTCCGTTGTCCGTTGTTGTCGTCGACCGATCACCGTTAGCCTGTTGCCTGTTCGTTCGTTTGGCGTTGTCCGATTGTGCGGTATTCGTCATTCGTCGTCGCTTCTGGTGCACGATGTATCAGTGGAACGGAAGAGGATATGCGATCAACATCGCCGGCGTGTTCCCGACGCTGACTCCGGTCGTGAACCCGGAAACGATGCAGCCGAACGTGGTGGAAGGCCAGGTACGTGTGCATGACCATCGGTTCCGTATGCGACGTGTCCCATCGTTGCCATCAGATGCGGTGCCCCTTCGTGCAGAGGTGCAAGGAACGTGAACGAACGAACGAACGAACGTTCGGAGGTTCGGTTCGGTTCGGTCCGGATTCCGAGTCCGAGTTCATGGTAAACACGTGAGCTTCGAGGGAACACGGCGTTTGCAGCCCCGACGCCGTAAGCAAAGGGAAAGAACCTGGACCTGGCGTTTGAAGGCGATGTCTCTGCGGGTACAATCGCAAACGCCGTCCGTAATCCATCTGCGTCGATCTTCGGCGTTTCCTTTGCAAAGATCAAATAGTGAATACCGAAGGTAGCGTCGCATGACAGCGTTAATGACGGCGTGTGCATGTGTACACGGTGTTCGCCGTGAACCCTGAAATGGTCGGTTGAACACGTCGTCGTTGATGTAGCTCCTTGCGCACTAAAAAAGCAGTTTCGTCAGAGAAGATGGCCGGGGGGGGGCGGACGAAACCTATACTAGTTTTTAAAGAAAGTATGGCAGGAACTTTTTCGATGCATCGTCTGGCCATCGGAAGGGCAGTGACGATCCTTGAAGAAGGCGGACTGAAGAACCGACGATGCTTCTGATGGAATGGAAAAGAAATGGATCTTTGTTGCCATTGAACTACCAAAACCTGAAAATTCGACATTCTGACTTTTTTCAGGTCGTTCGTCACGTCTTCATCTCTGAACGATTACGATTGATAGCAACGTCATTGTTGAGGAAAGGGTCGGTTTGGTTTCAGGCCCGAGCGGGAGATTGATGACCTCTAAGAATGCGCGTAGGATTTTTCCTTTGCCCCGTCTGCACTATGAACAGAGTATGCCGCCACAGAGCATCGGTGACTTATGGATCAGACGTATGGAAGACTCAGCATAACGACGCTGGACGCTTGATACATGAAAACAGCAAATAACGTTGTTAGAACTTGTGTACGTCAAATGTACTTTAGGGCACTTGTATATTTAATGTGCTCATACGTTTCAACGAGGATGTCATTTTCAGGAGTATACAGAAAACGGTACTAAGTCCGAAAATCTAACGCTTAATTAGCCTAAAACTTTCGGGACCTAAAGTCGACGTTGCTTTATCAGTGTGGAAACAGTAGTGCGTCTCTGTCTGTTGTTGTCACACTGATGAATCGGCACCATTTCGCAAGGTAACGAAAGCTTTTTGTTGATTGAACCTCCGATTTTCTGGTTTACTAGCGTTTTGTGTTTATTCGCTGTTTATCACTTTCGTCCCGCTTATGAACTGGATGACATTTACGGTAGCCGGTGTGTTACGGAGCAAGTTTCAGTGGTAATGAGGCACTAGTTTCGTTAGTTCATTAAAGTTCATTAAAACTGTTTTGATGAAGTGATTAGGTTTGCTTTATTGCGAGGTAGTTTAGCACCTGTACTGCCGTGAAGAATGACTCGCGTCATTGCATCGAGTGTTGTTGTTGTTGTTGTTATTTTTTGCCTCCATTGATCTGGTCGATTCCAGTGACGTCCCGAATCGTTTCTTTCCGTCTCTGTCGGTCACACGCAGTGTCCATCACCGGATTCAGCCGGTGTTTCTTCCAGTGCTTTCATCCGAACACTGGCGGCCCAGAAACGACTTCAGCATATGGCGTTGTGACAGCGTCCCAGCAGGTCTTTTTTTGTCCGCCTCGATACCGGTGCCATCCGTCTCCGGGGATCGAGGTGTCGTTCATTATAATGGAGGTTATATCCTCTGGTGGACATCTCAGCACGTGACCCCGTCAGCGCAGTCGCCGCATCGTTCTTCCAAGACAGCAGAGAATTGGGAGAGGTTGTGGCGTTGGATATGTGGTCGATAAATCTTGTCCGCGAGATGATTCCATTAAATCGGATATGCGAAAAGGTCGCATTCTAACCAGTGGTTACAGGGGCCTTTAGAGCCATTAATACAGACAAGGGGGGGGGGTCGGTTGAGAACGCCAAACTTCTGTGGCATTTAACTACCCGTGGTGCGTAGATACACAACAATATCACAGTGTTGGCCCGAACAGCTAACGATTTCGTGGCATCTGCGGGTGGCGGGCAGGGCGTGGTTTGAGCAATATCCATGATCCAGCGAGGCACTGATTCCGTTAAAGTTTATCAAGAAGTGCTTCATAAATATTACTAGTTTCCTGCACAAAAATGTACAGTAATATAATGGCGGTTTTGCATGAGAGGAATACAGCCATGTCCTAACAAGCCTGTCGCATTGGGATCTTTCTGGGAAATAAATTATTGAATAAATTGCAGTATAGAAGGGTACTATAGCACTGATATAGCACCTTAATCATTAAGTTATTTTTTTGAACTACAGATGCTCTTTGACTTACAATAAAATCACTTTCCGACGAACTCATCTTGTCGAATATGAGCATGATATGGTAAATAAATAACTCCTGCCGTTTAATAAGTAAATGACTAATTACTGTAACTAACTAAATACCGATAGTTCAAAAGTTAACGTTAATTGTTGGAAGATGTTGCAGCAGAGGAGGCTATGGCGACAGGGTCATAATTTTTTTCTTCTTCCGATGATTCGCGTTCGCGAGCATAGATCGTAGAAGGCGTTGGGTCGTCGACATTTGTTGATGGTTCAGAAACACGTTTGCTAGTTCAGCAAGATACCAAGTTTTGACTGAACTGTTTGTTTCTTCGTTCCGTTGTAAATTTCTTTATAGCAAGCAAGTGCATCTTGTATTTGTCTTTCAAATTTTGCATCTCTCATAATTATGATCATATCCTCACTGTATGATACGTACTGAACACTGTATGAGATGAGTTGTTTGCGCTATCGATCGCTACAGAGACTGAGTGTCCATCGCTATCACACCACCGTACGGTCGAAATATCTTAAAGCAGGGAGCATCTGCAGTAGGTTTTCTTCCAGGGAATTTTTCAGAAATATCTGTATATTGTCTTGAATTAAAGTTATAAGTTTATCGATCCTGGACGCAGGCGGATGAAATGGGTTTTCTGAGACGAATCCCTTTGCTTACGTGTCTCGATGACGTAGAAACAGCTACTGCTTGTCCAACCGACCTGTCGAAGACTCGTGGCAGGGCAAAGAATAAGGCAAATAACCTAGGACAGGTATGTCAAAGGTCTCTGCTCTAGACTCCAGTTGCCCTCCGCCGAAGCTGAAACGCTAGGCACTTGGCGACACTGTCTGAGGCGTTTGCCTCATCGACCAGAAACGATAGGCGGTCATCGAAACTGACGGACTCACCGAAATACTTGTTTGTTTAAATATAATTTTTCTATTTTTTCGTTTAATTATTTAAATGGTTTAATGCGGATTCAGGGAATGCGCCATCATCATTGAATTCGCAACCATCTGTCGTCTCAAGATGGCCAGCGACTTGCGGTGGGGTCAAATCTGGTGTAGTTGTCCTCCCAGTTTTCGGATGACAGGCTCTGTTCTGATGCGCGCCGAGGGCGTGGTTTTTCATAGTGCAGTTTTGAATGATATTAAAGTAACGTAGCAAGATTGTGGCGTTGAATTGTAACGGTAACAGTGCATTTAAATAAATTAATCCCGTATTCGATTCTAAGACGCATGCATCTTATAATGGAAGTTTTTCGAAACTTCCTGCGCTTTGCCCATGGCACCACACGTTTCGTTTTCACGTGGAAAACTTGCCTCCAAGTTTAACCGTTATCGTATTCTCCAACTCTGTTGGAGGATAAAGTGACGTAGATTTTAATCTGTATTGTGCAATTGTGAAAACACCGTTATTTCGTTAGAATGGAGCTCGCTCATCGGTTACTAAGAAATTTTCTTTGTATTTTCGAAAATACGTAAAAAGTTGAATGACTGTATTTCGTTAAATTTTGGTCTGTTATTGCATATGAAAATATTTTGAGAAGAATTGCACTACGGAACCGCATTGAAACTAAAAGTCATTGTGTTTGCAGAAGAACATGGAAATAGAGCTGCGGGTCGAGTCAAGATTATTCATATTTCTGATATTAGTCAAGCAAATGTTTGTTATTTGAGGAATAATCGCATTCCATATTTTCGTACAAAGCAACAACGAAATGCTTTATAGGGTTTAAGAA